GTTCGGAAGCTCCTCTGATCCATCTAATAATATGCTTTTGTTTGTGGTTTTATATGGAGGACCTTTTATTTCTTCAATTATTGAGAAGAGAAGTTGTAGCCCTGAAAATTACTAGATATAATAAAGTTTCCTGCAGCCTCTCTTTTCTTTCATAATTGGAGGCCATAGATCTTTTGTCAACTCTGGAAGACAAATTCTACTCGATTTTTCATCTATATTTTGCTTGGCAAAGATGGACAATTAGAAACAAAAAAAAATAATAATAATAATATATATATATATATATAAGGCTTAAATGTTAAAATGGTTTTGTGTTTTAGCTCATTGGCAAGTTTAGTCCCTGTGTTCAGCATGGTTAGCCAGTGTAATCCAATTCGTTAAACTATTATTAAGATATTAATTAAAAAAATTATAAATATTTGAATTCAATTGCAAAAAGAAATAATAATAAAATTTAAAAGCTAAAAGAAATTAAAAACCAAGGGATATGTCAACCGCAACACCCCTCTCTTCTCCCTTTTCTTCCCAGCTACTTTCCCCACCCACACCCAAAAGCCCCAAGCCACAGCCACCTCTGAACTATCCACCCACCCCACCCTTACCCTTCTCTCTCTCTCGCTCTCAAGAACAATCCCTAACTCTCGACCATCTCCCAGTAAGATCTTCCCCAACCCAACCATTCCCTGGCCATTTGTCTTCACGCAGTTGTAGTTAGGGGTGGGCACGGTACGGTATTGAGCTTGTACCGCTACCTATACCGGAAATTAAAATCGGTATGGTACGGTATGAGATTATCGTTTGCCAAAGTTGGTACTGTACCATACCGTGCCAAATGGGTATCGGTACCAAAATGACACAACTAAAAAATGAACCAATTCAATATTCAATATATTCATTCACCAAAATAAGTGATGCCTAAGTTACAGATTCAAAGATTCAATATACTCAATATCCAAATCCTAATCAACATATTCAATATCCAAATCAACCAAATCAATATCCATCAACAGATTCATCAAATCCAAATGGTTAAAACTCATGCCTTATGGCTTACACACCAAAACAGTTAAAATTATGCCTTACATACCCAATAACAAAGCTCAGTCAATTTTTAACAAAAGATTCTCTATATTATTATTGTTTTTTATATGCTAATACAGTGATGGTGCCAAAACCGTCACGTATGACTAGTCAATGAAAGAAACCATATAGATGATGCATACATGGAAATTTAAAAATAAAATAATGAAGATATTGATCTTCAAACTAACAGAACCCAGAGGCCACTCTGAAAACTATTCTAGGGGAGAATAATACTGTTTTGAAATTTAATACAGGAGGTTCTTGTTTGTATCCCACAGAAAAAAGTTAATGGAATTCAGGTCCTGGTTACAGAAAGGCATTGATATGTTTCTATTTGAAACAACTTTTAATTATCAAATGAATCAAAGAAAAAGGCTCTATGAACATACACACAAAGGCTATCAAAATATAGAAAAAGCAAGAAATCAACAAGACATCACAAATGGCCTAATCCAGAATCAACAACACAACACAAATACTTATATTTCAATATGAAAAAAAAATTATATTTCAGTATTCGGTACGGTACGGTATTGACCGGTACCAAATACTTGATACTGCTACCATACCATACTCTATTGGTATGGTATGGTACGGTACCGAATATCTTCCCATCCTAAATGAAACGGTATGAAATCGGTATGGTACGATATGGTTAGTGTACGGTTTTGGTATTTCGGTTTTAGATGCCCACCCCTAGTTGTAGTCAATGACGGACTCAGAAATTTTTCAGAGAAGGGGCAATATTTAAAAGACTAAAAGACTAGAATTTTTTTTATAAATTTACTAATTATTATTGACGCATAATAATCAGTATAATGTAATTAAATATACATACTTATTCATCTAAGTAGAATAAGAAATCCCAAAATATAAAAGTGAGAAATAATAATGATAAATAAAAGTGAGAAATAATAACCTGTAAAAGCCACAAGAAATATTACCTCATAAAATATATCTTCAAGACTAACCCATCAACACTTAAATATGAACTGAAGAAATCTTCGAGAGATTTGGAAAGTGATTTTGGGTTGTGGGTTTTCTAGATGGAAGGGAATCCTAATATGCTCACATGGTTAATTGATTATGGGATAATTAAAAGGTTTTTTTTTGAGCTGGAGGATAATAAGATGGTTAAAGTGGTAATTTGCCGAAAGTCAGAATTGCATCAATCAATACTCCTCATTTCATTAAACGCCTTTTGAGCTGGAGGATAACAAAGACGATGTCGTTTGCACTGCAAAAAATTGAAAACAAAAAACCCAAGTCATCTTCCTCGTTTTGAAACCCCTTGCAACACACCTTAGATGTAGAACCTTGGGACCAGCAGAGGTGCATAATCCAGCCTCTTCACAGGATTTCCGGCAATGGGAGGTCCAACTGCACCTCCTTGCGCCTCTGTAGGTCCGCCTCTTATTGTAGTCCCACTCTCCCCCTCCCTCATTGCTGAGTAGTCCCTCCCCTCCCCGAACATGCCCACTGTAAGTGTATGCATTTTGTGATTTTCTTTTGGCTTCCCTTGACAATTTTGTAATAGGACAATCATTGTATTTTCTCAAGCTCTAGTTTAGATTAAGAATTACATCTCTAGGTGTTTTTATCTGGCTACATTATGATGGACAACACTGTGTTTGACAAAGGTAAATTTTGCATTGCATTCACTAAATTCCTGAAGATTATGACTAGTCAACCTTTGCATTAGTAGGATTTCCAGCTCACTGTTTCTAGCTGGATCATACCCATCTTTTTTGTCCTATTCTGCGAAATTCTCTGCAGCCTTGTACGATTCTAACCTATGAATTTTTGTGTAAAAACTAAAGAATTCCTCATTTGGCAGTTGTTTCTTTTGTGGGTGAGTTTTGGAAAGTTTCATAGAAAACTTTCTCTTCTTCTTCCTCAAGAGCAAACCTTCATATTTTTCATCTTTGATTTTTCGAAAACTGCATTTGAAATATGAAAACCTCATCTTGCTAGATCAAACACTCTCTCATATATATCTAGGTCAGATTCAAGATTGGTTTCTTCAAGAGTATGGTTTCTTGAAGAAATTGGTCATTTACTCCTTCAATCCAAATTTCATTCTTGTCTGAGTTGGAGCTGGCTAGCTGGTGCCATGGGATGATAGAGCTGAAGAAGAACATGCCATTGCCATGAAAGACTAAGCTGCTGGTTTTGTGAAGTTGGAGAAGAAGATTGCACAAAGGAGGTATAGCTCATCTTCCTAAATAGACCTAGGATTTGTTGAGCTTGCTAGTGTTTCTTTGTAAGAATCTTTTTGCTTAATGAATGCCTGGTCGGTTGATGACTCCTAATTTTTTTTCCCAATGGTGGGTTTCTGGGTGAACAATTTCTGGTTTGCATCTCTGTAATTTTCTGGGTTTGTGTTCTTGACAATTGACTCGTCATCGCATGATGTTCATATATTTCTGGGTTTGTGGTCTTGCAGTTGACTAGTCATCCTTTTATGCTGTTTGGTGTTTACTTGATTATGATGCCTTCACACACTTTCACCATAGTTGTTGCTAGCACAGGAGATGCCTAGATTGACGGGTCCTTCTGAGTGCATTGGTTGTCACTAGTAATTCTCTAGGCTTGCAGGTACATATTGATATGCTCTGTGTATGTTCTTGGTTGTGGTTATTCATGTCTGACAGTTGACTAGTCATAAGCGTATTTGGTCAAGGTCTAAAGTGTGTGAAGTTTGTGTGGTTTTGCTTGAGTGTCGTATAATTTTACCCCTCATCACCTAAGTACCAATCCTATTTTTCTTTTTCTTTTTTCTAATGCTATGTTTTAGTTATAATTAAGTTGGGAGTTTCACTAAAATACCCAAAATGGGGGCTGAAATTATAAAAATACCCAACACCCAAAACACTTTATAAACATACCCAAAACTCATCATTACACACACTCAAAATCCATTTATAAACATACCCAAAACCCATCATTACACACATACCCAAAACCCATTTTGGGTATGTTTCTATGTTTAAATAGTGCTTGGGTATTTTTATAAATACATGTCTAGGATTGGGTATTTTAATAAATATCTAAATTAAGTTTTAGTCTTTTTATCACAAATGGTCCATGAGGTTTGTGAAAGTATCGCATTTCGTCTCTAACGTTTTTTTGTGACACTAATGGTCCTTAAGGTTACTCTCCACACATCAAAATGGTCAATGTCGTTAGCTTCTGTCAAATTTTCTATTAAATTACTGATGTGGCACATGTGTGGAGCCCACACATCCAATGGTATAGAACCACGTGACTTTAAATATAATATAATATTTTTTCAACTTAAAATCCATAAAATAAAATAAAAAAATAAAAGAAACTTAAGTCTTATAAATAAAAAAATATTAAAACTTAAAAAAACAAAAAGACCTCCATCATCCCTCTGCTTTCTCCCTCTGTCAACGTCTTCTCCCTCTCGCAGACGGATTTGAATCCTCTGCTTGGATTTTCTCTCCTATGATCTGCGTGATTTTCTCTCTCCACCCACCACATCATTTAAATTTCAATCCAAAGAATGTAAAGTTGACACATCAATAACTCAATTTCAATATAATTAAAAAAGAAAAAGATTTCCTGATTGAAACGTCAAACCTAAATCTAACGTCGTTTCCCCTTCTTTTTTATTCTTCC